CTGCTGAATTCTTTCCTTTCGGATTGTATTAAAGAATCTTTCTTCATATAACTGAAGTACCAGGACTTGACTGGTACTTCAGTGTGAGATGGTAAATGTAGGTATAAATTTAAAGTTTGATAGAGCAAACATGAGATCTTATTATCATGAGTAATTTCTTTTACCAAAATAAATACAGGAATTGGAAGGAAAGATTGGAAATGGGCAAATAAAACTCAAGAATTTCCAGTGATGTAGCTGGTCCCATAAAATTTGAGTTGTGTCAGAAGATGCTGGCTCTCAGAAATAAAGCATGTTACAGTTTTCAGACCCTAAGAGTTCCAAACACTATTTTATTTTTCTTTGGAGATATTCACTTGCAAATGAGTTGATGCCTTAATGATTCCTCCAGAACATGATACATTAATGGAAAGCCATTATAATTATTTCATGCTGTATGTTTATAAATAGTTTACAATGCATAATACAACACAGCTTGTATACGAGTTTATGAACAACTGCGCAACTTTTAATACTGATTTTTGGATTTTCTTTGTCCCCTATAAGTGAAAGAGATAAAACACTGCAGAGAAATCAAAACACTCTATAAATTAAGAGTCAAAAGCTTGCCCAGAGTACAGTTACCTAACATGAAGAATGAGGTCCATAGGAAGCCACCATTATTTCAACCTGCCTACACGTGCACATACAAATTAACCAATTCAAGTATTTACTTGAATACTAAGCGGAAATTGCAATTCTTGTCCGTATCAATGTTTTCAATTTTTCACAAACTGGTTTTGCAGCAACAAGATGCTCAAAGATCTGATGCTCAATGTATCAGAAAAGAGAATGACTAAAGAGATGACCTTAGACCAGGGGTTTTCAACCTTTTTGGGTCAGTGCATTTCCAGCGGCCGGATGCAGACCAGTATAGCCCTAGTGGCCAAATGCTGAGCAGGGGGAAGTGGCACGCGGCTGGACACTGAGCAGGGCAGGGTGATCTGGAGCAATGGCAGTCGCCACATGTGGCCTTCTTTCCCCCCACCACATCCAGCTGGGCAGGCAGTGCCTGTATGGGATGGTGCATGGTGGCGCTCCGTCCCCGCCTGCCCGTGCATACTCCCTAGGGCCTTCTCGGGTACCCCCAGTTGACAAACCCTGCCTTAGACAAATTAAATAGCAAACTGATGGCTCCAAAACTATCGTACCCCATTACCTGGATTGAGGACAATGACAGCTCTGACAGAGTTCAGTTAAAACTGGAGTGGATGCTAGGCATGCAGTATTCCAACTGGAGCTCAGAGACCACAAAGGAGGGCTTTCATCCAACATACATTTTCAGTTTGTATTCTCCCTCTCCAAAGAAACATGGCTGATGCAATCTTTACTGAAGAAGTAAAGACAGCATCAGAAGCTTCTTTATTATCTCATGGCAAGCCAAACATTTGTTCTTGGCTTGTTTCATTGCTCTGATGATATAAGTAAAACTCCTAGCAATATATGCCAGCTGGACAGAGCAGAAAATTCAGTTTTCCCCAAAGTGAAAAAATTCCAGTGTTGCT